TGCTTTTAAACAATCGTCTTCATAGAAAATCAAATCTTTTAGACATGTTGAAGATTGTCTTAGAAAGGCTATATTCTATTCTGTAAATTTCTTCAATTTAAATTATATTCGATATAGCTAGGCGGACTGCGTATTTCCAAACCCTACCCTAGAGCTACTAGAGCCTTTATAGTAACCTTAGAAAAGGGGGGTAAGGTTTGGAAATACGCAGGCGGACTCTGAGTGTGTCCGCCTAGGCAATCTTTGAATTTGTCTGTCTGTCTCCATTATGATTTGATTTGTAACTAACACTTTCACTTCAAAATCGTCATAACTGGAATTGCTGAGAGCATGTCTTTTTTTATTTTATTGTCTAAGAAGGTTTTGGTTTACTTCTGTCATTGTGTTGATATCGTGGGAGGTTCTTGAAGTCTTAAACGTTATTAAAAATGTCAGTTTAAAAAGCAAATATTTGTAAGTTGAATTTTATAATACTGATACTTGAGTTTAAAGTTATCCGTTTTTAAAAAATATATTAAGGTGGCATGGGACATGTAATTTTTCTATATATTTAATAAAATTAGTTTCATTACGTATCTGTTACGTGTTATTACTGTATATAAAATTTTAATTTTCTGTTCAGTTTTAGAAGTGGGTAGATCTTTAAAAATTTTCATGCATAGAATTTTGTGGAAAGTAAAATTATTTTAAACATTATGTGTTGAGATACTTCATTTTGTACCATTAGTGAGTAACACTTTTAATGTTTTAGTAATGCATTTAGCATGAGATCAAAATCTTACTCCTGTAATTAGAGGTAAAATTTATTTCATAATTCTCGCATAATGTCCTGAATATATATGATGAATGTATCATTTTGTCTCCTAAATGTGGTAGTATTTAACAGAATGCACTAAATGTCAAGGTGCATAATAGCCATCTCCTTCTTACTATAACGGCTTTGAACAAATTATTTTAAACCAAATTGTAAACGGATTATTTCTCTCTCATTTCATCCAGTGACTGCTAGCTTGTTTACATTAGGTCAGTCTGAAAGCTCTTTGTTTACATTTGTTTGTTATGCTTTGTCTAAATATGAATATACTTAGTATGTGCTTTTGAATTATATTTTTCGGAAAAAGTGAAGTTGAGTGCTGTATAAATTATCTTACATTGTAATGTTTGTTAAAATTCCTTCATAGTGGCCAACTTGTTTTTATCCCTTCACTTGGTGAATACTGGGCGATTTATTTTTTTTTCTATACGATTGGAAGAGAAAACCAGTGTAAAGTTAGTGTTCCTTTCTTTTTTACAGTCATGCTTTTCTTACTTCTACGATTTATCAGTTATTGTTGTTTATTTTAGTTTTGTGTATTTTATTAGTTATTTAAGGTGGGAAAATATAACAACTTTTTTTTTCTAGATTTTATTTTGTCTCTCACTCTGTCTCTTTTTTTAGGGGGAGGGAGGAGGAAAAGGGTGTCAGAAATGAACAGAAGTCAAGGCGGTAAAATCCTATTATACAGTACAGCCTTGGCATGATTTTGAAAATTGTCAGCAGCACTGAAATGACTCATTTACTGCTCTGCTCATCATAAATACTGCATTTACTGCCCATCCGTCATGTCACCAAATCCCATGTATACCATGTACTAGGATTATACTATGACCTGTTATTATAAATGACCTGTTGGCTAACTGTCCGTGTTGGCTAAATGTCCTGTCGGCTAAGTGTCCATGTCGGCTAATTTTCCATGTCTGTTAAGTGTCCTGTCAGCTAAGTATCCCCGTCGGCTAACTGGTGTCAGTTAAGTGTCCCTTCGGTTAAGTGCCTGCGACCGGTTTCATAACTTTAACCCCTTAACAATCGCATAATTTTCAACAAAACAATTGAAAAAGGGCCTATTTTTTTATTAAGAAAATTGTTTTAAAGTAAGTTCATGAGCAATCTATGTATTCATTTTTAATTAAAAAAATTTTTTTAGCTTGAAATCAAGGGACTGCCATTTGGCATGTAAAATAAGAAATACAATTTTTTACAGCTTTAAGAAATAGATTGTTTTTATCTTTTTGGTGCATTTTCTTTTGAACATACACATGTTCAGAAATATCATGGGCATGAGAAATAGAGAGCAAAACCTCATTTTGTGATTTTGATGGAAGTAAGAAAGAAGGGGTTAATCTTTTGGTCACTGGTGTTTTTAAATAGAATTCCAAGTGGCAAGTTAAGTAACTACTGTGAAAGAGTATGTGTAAGTTTAGATTTGAGTCTTCCTAGTTAATAATATACCAAAAATAATTTATATAGATTTTCCTCTTTTCTTTCTAGTAATATAGCAAAAATATTCTATATTGAATCTTTATATACTTTTTATGTTCATTTTGTCACTATTCAGCCATTTTTCCTTAGTATTGTCCTCAAACATTAGTTACAGGTATGAGATATAAAGCCAAGAAATTTTAATGGACATTTGAGTACTGAAATCCATTAATTTTCCAGTCCTGCATAAAAGAAACTGTAGTATATGCTATTTGATTATACTATAAAAAAATTGAAAGAAAAGGTGTCAACTGCTTTATAATCTTTTCTTTATGCAACTAAATGAAACAAAATTTAGAATGATATAAATATTGGGTATGTATTTTAATGCAAGCTTTGCCTTTTTTTTTAAAGGTTTGTTAATTTTTATGTTTTAGTCTCAAGAAATATACAGGGAATAGATATGTGGGCTGGAAAATCAACTGTCAGATTGTATGAAGAGTGCATAGAAGGAGGACTGTGTCCAACACATTTGAGAGAATTTGAGTCAGAGGTTTGTATTTCTAGAAATATTTCAAATCTTTCATATAGTATAGTAAAGTAATGTATGTACAAAATTGTCTTCTTTTATAACTTATAAGTACTTATACTGTTGCCTTTTTACAAAATACCTTCCTCAGAATTGTACCACTGAATAGTTCATATTCACAAATGTGTCAAAAATCTCTGACATACTGTTTTGTATTACTATAAAATAGAAATTATTTTGAAAAAGATAAATACAAGATTGTGTTATAAATGCTCTATCAAATATAATTTGTATCTGAAATAGATTGATCTTTAATACCTGAGTATCATTATATATGTATTGTTTGATAAAAATATTAATAAAAAATCTAAAGTTATTTCCAACCCATTCTTGTTTGTCCAAAAACTTTAATAAATTTTTATAAATGATGTTTAAAAAGAGAAGATTATAGGTTATGTATGTGTTAGCATAATCACCTTAGTAAAAGTTGGCAGAATTTTAAAATGCACCAAACTCTGTTGGCCATGAGCATAATAATCCTCCAGTTTTAACGAACAATTTCGGTTTGCTTGCAGAGGAAAAAACTGTGATAAAATCTTTCCAAGAATAAAGTATTCTACAGCAAATTTGCTAAAGGAAGCAATTGCTTTGAGTGTATTTTACACTCATTTTACATTTTAAGCAAATATGAAATTTTCACCAGCATAAAACAAACCTTTCCCTCCTCCTCCAGGAAAAAAAAAAAAAAAAAAAAAAAAAAAAAAAAAAAAAAAAAAAAAAAAAAAAAAAAAAAAAAAAAAAAAAAAAAGAAAAAAAAAAAAAAAAAAAAAAAAAAAAAAAAAAAAAAAACAAAAAAAAAAAAAAAAAAAAAAAAAAAAAAAAAAAAAAAAAAAAAAAAAAAAACACTGCTTATAAGTAGATTTTATAATTGAATTCTTAGGATAAAATAACTTTTTGAATTATACATTGTTTTTCTTCTCTAAAAAGTCGTCATATTATGCTAAAGTAGTTGTGTAATATCAGTACTAGAGATGCATATGAGAAACTTGCAAGAACAATGTGATTAAACTGTAAGATATATTTATGTATTTTTATACTGCAGAAAAACATAAGTGGCTGTAATTAAATGCTTTCCTGTGCTTCCTGTTCCTGTATGCAGTTTTTAAATGGAATTTTAAGGTTAAAAGTTACAAAATATTTGGCATAATGAACTCGGCAAAGTGAAACTGTAATATCATAAAGGGTAGCACATAGCTGCATTTAAGTCGCAGGATGGGTGAAGGTGTTAGTTAAGTGATCTCATGACATTGTATATGCAGTGGGCCATGTGGCACTTAGTAATAAGTTAAAAATGGATAGCAGCTGGCTTAGCATTCACATGCTCTCATAATTGGAGTAATACCAGCAAACATTTTTAACATGGACAATACCTCATAGGCATAAGGGAGCTAACTATCACCAATTAATGTCTGAGGAACAAGACTGGATCCTAAAGCTACATGTCTATGAGTTGTCAATATGTGCAGTCTCCAGTTAAAAATGTTCATGTGTTGACCAGATTGTACTCCTAGTTTTGCCTGTGGTGCAAGGCATACCTGCCATGGTGTGCAGCAAAATACTAACAGTGCATTACACAGCTTGCTCTTCAGCATGGATTTTTTTATTATGTGTTCCGCCTTTAGGTACTACATGGAAACGCAACTATGTCCTGTGAATATCTTTTTTAGGGAACTACCTCGTATCCGCATTACACATGGGGATAGCCATGAAAATATCCATGCAGCCAGCCCGTTTACTGGGATTCAAACCTCTTACTGAACTACCAGTGTTTAGCGGCTTTTACCACTCAGCCACTGGTGGGCTTTCTGTATGGGATTAACCCTCTGAGGGGCAAGGCTTTTTTGGGAAACCACATTAAAAATAATCGTGTATACTCTTGTTCTTTAACAAAAGTGGCTAGTATTTTGACTCTTAACTACTTAAAAAGCGGGCACCTCTCTACATGTGGAAATAATTAAGGTAATTCTCTTCTCCCTTGAGTTTAGCGAGCAAAATTAGTTTTTCTGCCTATGGTATCTTCGGAACACGTGTGGTTGGCAGAATTATATTTTAGCTGATATTTGGCTATTTTATAGTTTTGATACTAATAGCTATGCTACATATTACTCGTTACGAGGATTACAATCAGGATATATACCGAATACATAAATATAGTCAATATGCATCATTAATATAAACTATGTAATATGTTTTAAATTTCGAGTTTCTTTAAGAAATTGCTTCAATATTGGTGAAAATTTAATCTTGCATCCTTTACAGACATTTTCTATGAAAATACTTTTAAATATACAAAGGAAATATGTAAAAATGTTTTGGTAAAACTGGATATTATGGTCTAGTCTGGACCATAATATCCAATTTGGCACATTTTCAAAAAAATTGTCAAGTCACCAAATCGGTTGTTTTCGCACGTTTTAGAAAATCACAAACTCATCATATCACCCTATTAGATGGTTGCGAATTTGAATTAATTTTGTAAACATGCAAAAATATATAAAGCAGGACTTCTAGAAAAACAACGAAAAAGGGGATAAGTGCAGAATCACCCACTGCTTGGCACATTTTTAAGAATTGCACATACTCGGTATCCATGTACACATCAACCGATTTCCACTTAAAAAAAAAAATTCCAGAATTGCACAAAAATGGCATTGTGCACTCCCTTGACTTTATATACATTGATCTATTTTCACTTAGAAAGTCAAAGAAAATTGGCAAAAATCCAATTCTTTTTACTCTTGTAAAAAGCACCAAACAAATAAGTGTGTTATTCTGCACTTTATCTGAAGTATGTGAAAGTTAATAGCTATGTATTTTATACAGTCAACAATATTAAAGTTTTCATAATATCATATACCATTTTTAAGGTAGTAGCAAAATAGAGTAAAGTGTTTTATCATGAAATTTAAGAAATTGTAATAAGCAGTAAATGAGCAATAAATAATCGGAAAGCATTTATTTGTATTTAAGCCAAGAGGTCACCAGATTTGGCACGATTTCGCTTCACTTGGTGACTGGACCATAATCTCCCGTCTAGCCAAACGCTTTTTCCTTTGTGTTCCAGTTTTTCGAATATATATTATGTGCAACTTACTTTAATATGATGTTTTAATTTAATTTTCAAATATTTTAAGCTTATTTCAGATTAAACTATTACATTTAAATAAATCTTTATATTTCATTGTAAATTTATTAATAGTTAATTATTTATAATATTGTTTTTGATAACAGTTTAAAAAATTATTTTGGGTAAAAATTTTTATTATTAATAATTCAGGAAATGGAGTCAGATGAATTCTAATATTGATGTCTGCTGGCAAATGTGTTCATTGGCAATTTAAGAATAGCTGAACTTGTACACTGAATCCCCTCCTTAGCAAACAATTCTTATAAAAGTTCTATCAGCGAACATGTAATGTTATATGCTGCACGTCAAAGCTACATTCTTAATTAAATGAAATATTGTATTGGCCCAAATACAAGTTAACTTCACATATATGAACGACCCTTCTATTTTTAATTCCTTGTGCGAAGTAGAGAAAGTATTGTAATGATGAAAAATTTCAATTTTCAGATTGCATAGGAAGTATCCATTTTGACTAGTTCCGTTGTGACATCAATACTTACGTATATCGCATAACTTAGAAAAACGATTCGTCATAAAATGCTGGAACTTTACATTAAAGAGTTACAATTAGTTTTGGCATGACATCTGTCTGTATGTATGTATTTTGCAAAACTCAAATGCTATGATATCTAGTTGTGCAACTCCCTTTTATATTGCAATCGACAGTGCTAATGGGTATTTCTTCTATATACATATATCATTCCGAGGAAGTACGATATACATACGCGGAGAAAGTATGACATAAAAATAGATAACAAATGCATTTGAAGCATTGAAATTTTTTTTGAAGGGAAATAAAATAAAAACAATATTTTGCTTCTAGAAATACTTTCCAAACTGGGATAAATCGGAGTGCAAAATGCCATTTAAAACAAATCAGCTTGAATAATTTTATCAAAAAATTATTTATGAATGAGAAATCATAAATAAAATTTCACTCTTATTTTTTATGTAATTAAAAAAAGAAATTTATGATTATTTATTTTTCCCCTTGTGTAGTACGCTAGTTTCCCTCAGAATGTCCCCCACGAAGGCATCCTTCCTCATAGGCAGGTAGCCCTCATAGCTTTGTGGTATTTAAATAACTGAATTGATCCTGTCGAGGGCGTTTTCAGCTTGCCTGTTTCATGGCTTTAAGCACCTAATGAATTCTACGTATTATTGCTATCAGTTTAATTCCTCTCAGGAGGTTATCCAAAAATACATTAACAACTCAGATTTTTCAAGAATTTTTTCCTGTCCGAATACCAAGTAAAACACCTTTGTTATGCAATTTATTATAAATCGAAAACTCTTATTCATCAGTTTTGAATGAGTGATGGGAATTGAAAGAATTATGATACTTTTCTAAAGCTTAATTGTGAGCTTGGTTTAGTTGTAGAGACATTAGGATATTTTTGGAAGGAAATGTGAAAAATAAGCTACGACCTCACCTGGAATCTAACCAGTGAATTCTGGAATACATGCCTAGTGACCACTACACTACGAAGGCATATTAAGAAGGCGGGAGAAATACCTTATATTCTTCCCCTTTTAAAGTACGACTGGGGTTTAGGGGACCCAATTGCCAAATCATGATGTGTGGATAATCATCATTCACCACCCTTTTAGTTCGGGTGCCAATGTAGAGACATTAGGATATTTTGGAAGCAGAAGAGGTGAAAAATGAGCAGCACGCTCGCTGGGAATTGAACCACGGACCTCTGGAATACGAGCCAAGAGTGCTGACCACTACGTTACGAAGGCGGAAGAAATACCTTATATAGTATGGGAGGAGAAAGATACTAGGATGCAGAAACAATGAAATTTTGATTAATTACTTAGGAATAAACCGGCA